AGCCAATAACGTTTCTATTTCAATCTTGGGTATTTGATTTAAAATTAAGTAACTGCATTTGATCTGTGATTTAAAAATAAATAGCGTTATATACGAAATGATATTTATCATATAAAAACATACACATGTTTTGCAGAAAAAAAATATTAAAGTATTTTAGCTAACTCGACTGTCAGCCGTCCGTAAACGCTTCTACTCCCCCTACTCTTATTGTTCTCTGATGAGTGCAAAAATTCTTTTTAACGTTGTTTTCTTTACAGTATAATATTTTTTATGAATTTCTGAAAATGAAATACAATAATTATTAATATTTGTATACAAAACGTGTGATCCTCCTCTTGTCGTGAAAGAGCCATGTGCGGCTCGCGAGCCGCAGCTTCACGACCCCTGAACTAGTTGTGTGTTCCCCATTGGCGGAACTAGAAAAAATGGGCCACCCCGCGAAAAATTTTTTGGGCCCCCATAATGTATACGTATACGTTTATGTATGTATGTATATATATATATATATATATATATATATATATATATATATATATATATATATATATATATATATATATATATTATATATATATATATATATATATATATATATATATATATACTAGCGTCCCGCCAGGCCCTGCTCTGGCTTCTGTGAAAAACCTTTCTGTTAAAGACCATTACCCGTGTGTTTAGTAATCATCATAAACCCGGCATTGCCCACCCAAACCACAACCAACCAAAACAACAAAACGAAAACAAAAACCTAACAACAAACCCAACCACAACCACAAACACCAATACAAACACAAAGAAAAACAAACAAAAAAAGCAAATGAAAACAAAAACCTAACAACAAACCCAACCACAAACACCAATACCAACAAAAAAAAACAACGAAAAACAAACCAAATCCAAACGCAAAACCAACCAAAAACACAAATACAAACCCAAACAAAAAAAACACAAACAAAAACGAAAAAAGAAAGAACAAAAACGAACCAAATTAAAACGCAACCACTAACGCAAACCCACCTAACACAAAGAAACACTAACGCGAACATAAACGCCCGGGGCGGAATCACCTGTTTTAGCTTAATGAACGACTATAGTACCCCAACTTATTCACAGTCTTTTGCACTCACTTAAACGAACGCGCCTGTTTCAATTTAATAAACAATTTTAATACTCCAAGCTTATCCGTAAAATCCTACAACATTTGCACTTGATCAATCCCCGCTAATTATGTAATTATTTTTTTTCCCAACACCAAAACAAAGTAATTAAAAAGTAAATTATTTTCACGGAATGCATGGTTTTATAAAGGGAAGTAATTGTGTTTTTCCTAATTTATCAAAGGGAAGTAAGTGCTATAGGACTAAATAAAGACATAATTAGAATTTTTGTAAAGATGATATTTTTTTTAAAACTTGTGTGAATGACCATGCCGGACAATTATTACTATAATTTGAAAAATGAAAATTATTTCCCAACACTTTCAATGGTAATTTTTTAGCTCATAAATTTAGACAAATGCGCACGCTAATTTTCTAACACTTAAATTCGTACAATTCCAACGACATACAAATGCATTACATACAGAAACTGAGCTTTAACAATTCCAACGACATACAAATGCATTACATACAGAACTGAGCTTTTATTATATTTAGATATATATATATATATATATATACACAAACACACAATACAAACATTGGATACTCATTTCTGTCCTGATCGGCTTTTGAAAGAAAAAATTCAATTAAATCTAATCACAACAACATGTCATGTGTGTGAGTGCATTGGTCAGTTTTGAAAATATCTATTTTCATTTATGTTTGCCTTAATACTTCTAATAATTAAGTCGGTCAAAAGTATATAAATCAAGAAGCTTTGTATAAGTAATGGTGTCTCGTGTTATGTTTATTTTTATGTTTTTTTTTTAATTTATATTATTTGTTTTAACTACATTTTATTTTTATACTATACCATTCTTTAGTGCTTATTTTTTTAAAATAACAATTAAGATAAGTAATTGCTGTTTAATTTGATTATTACAAATCTATTAAAAGGAGCTTATGAGCACCCCCATTTGACTATTTGAAAAAGGGAAAAAATTTATGGAAGTGGTTTGAACGTTTGCCTATCTTTCACACTACAGCTCATGTGTAAATTTAAAAAAAAATTTTTTTTACGCAACAGCATGTCTTAGCTACTAAATAACATCACTACTGTATTAGATCTGTTATCTGTTTGTTATTTACAAAACCGCTATCAAGGTGCCAGTGACGAAACTAATATATATATATATATATATATATATATATATATATATATATATATATATATATATATATATATATATATATATATATCATTCGTGTATTTATTTGAGACGTTTGCCTTGTTTTCTGGAACAGTGGTTATTAAACGTAAGCAATGTCGGCACTTTATTTCTTGGATATTAGTTGTTGGAGCGCTAGTTTGTCAACACTCCCACCGATACGAGCCAGCTTAGTTGTTGGAGCGCTATCTATTCGCTTCTTGTAAGGCTAAGAGCGGGAGGGGAGGTCGGAGAAAGGAACTTAAAAGGGCCAACAAAGCACCGATGTGCTTTTATCCATCAGTACCAAATTTGGGATGGTCTCAAAAAGCCGTCTTAATATCTAGCGGCCTCTCGCGCAATTGATGTTTTTTTCAAAAGAATTTTACCGACAACAGCGTGTGTTTGATTTTAGGAAAAAGAATATACAAGAGCGTAGGATGGTGTCTATAGAATAAAGATACTCCAACCGCAGCTACAGTATTCTTTTTTTCAAAACAACCATCAGGTCAAAAATGCAAGAAAATTAATTTTAACTATAAAAAAAAATGATTATGGGCGGCTGTGGGCCCCCCCCCCCCCCGCATTGCGGGGTCTGGCGGCACTGTAGTTCCGCCCCTGGTGTTCCCCCGATTGCACGATTTTTAATTTTACGCCCTGCAGAATCATTGGTAAACTTTCTCGTTTATTACAACAAAGGAAATAACCGCGTTATTCTAAGCCTAGAGTTGCATGAGTGAGTGATCGCCCTTATAACAAAAAAAACCTATCAAAGTACAAAAAATGAGTTGTAAATTATGTTCTTGAAACTGATTTTTTAATCGTATCATAACAAAATATGTGCATTCAATTTTCATGAAAGATCTATTTCACAACTACTGTAAACAGAATCACATGGTAACATTGTAGGCTTATATTTTAAACCTTGACTTACGAAACACAAATTTTGTTCACAAAGTGAATAGCGTTTAACATATTTTATTCAACTAATGACAAATTTAGTTCTCTAAGGGTTCATCTAGTTATAGCGTCCACAATATTTTTGGACTTTGGACACCTTTCCCCCTGCAGCCCCCCCCCCCCCCCACCCCCCTCCGTCCACAAAAGTCCAATTAATCCCCTTTTAAAAGTCCACAGCGACCGCCAGAATCAATTTTTCTCGGACCCCCCCAACCCCCCCCCCCCCCGTGTGGATGACCCATAAGTAAAAAAAAAACTGCAGTCATAATTTGGTAGTGAGAATGTGTTCTCGAATTGTAGAGCTTACGACTGCTAACATGAAAGTCTCGAGTTCGGATCCCAGGCTTATATCTATAGAACGTCAAGAGTCCACCTAGCTTTGATGGGTACCTGTCTCACGTAAGGCAAACAAAGGCGGCTGGGCAGAGCGCTGACTACACTACCCCATTGTATGCTTAGGTCAATAAAACAGATTAACTCTACTTCATCTGCTCCACATGTCCTTGACGAGAACGGGAAAAGGTGATGAGATGGTACTTTGAAAAGTTTTTGTATTGTAAGCCTGGACTAAAGAAGAAAATGTTGAACTAATTCTGCAAGGGATTTTGAATGTATTGACTTTTAATAGAAATGAAATAAAAGTAATTTACTACGGGAGAAATATATATATATATATATATATATATATATATATATATATATATATATATATATATATATATATATATATATATATATATATAGCTAGTTTTCTCGAACTATAGTTACATGTGATGCAATCGACCTTTGACACTTACTAGATTCAGTAAAATAAAAATTAACTCCGACAGAAGAAGAGTTCGTGTTATAAACCATAGAAATACATGAACTGTAGGAAGTCTCCACACGAGAACCATTGACGTGTATTGAAATAGTAAAACTGAGAGTCAACATTAGAAACACAATAGTTCAAATCTAAAGTATCATTATACATCACATGGATGGTCGTGTCTGGGTCATCGATGGTCAATGGGAACACTTGGGAATTTATTGTTGCGGTTTGCAAAACTTTATCTGAAATTTTTAAAAGATAAAAATTTAATGCGGCGAAGGTTCTGCTTAAATTAGCTCTTTTAATTAATGACTCCCGGACAGACGAGGCTAGATGGCTGTAGACAGACACTTATCTTTCAGAAACAACTACCAAATCAAACAACTGCTGCCTTGTAGTTAGTTCTTGGTTGGACAAAGGCTATGAACAATGTTTTTTCCAGACTTTTTTCTCCGGGAAGGCACTTGGTATTTTCGGGGGGGGGGGGGGGGGGGGGGGCGGACAACAAAAAAGTATATATTTTCCATATAAATTCCATTTCGTTCGGGTGGGGGGGGGGCTCCGCACCCCCGAAGAGATGCCTGGAAGAAACTCTGGCTATGGAAGCAAATCCATAAAGAAAAGCAGGCTGAAATTGGAGTCAAAAGCCTATATGGCTCATAACAAGTTGACGTGCAATACTTGTGTTGGAGGGAATCCCTTCCAACACAAGAATTAAGAACGGCGAAGAAGAAAAAATAAATAAACCTACCAAAAATTTCAGGTAGTATTCTAACAGGTGTAAATGTCGATGATGTGCCATAGTTATTTGTCCAAGTTCCTTGAATCTCGTTTTTGCTGAGAGAAGGTGTGGCTTTACCCTCGATAGTAAAACTGTATATCGACTCGTCTTGTAAAAAACATTCACAATTTGATGATGTTGGTGTGTAAACGTTAAATCTACAATCTAAATCGCAAAACTGAAAATAGAATAAAATGAGTATATGTATATATATATATATATATATATATTATATATATATATATATATATATATATATATATATATATATATATATATATATATATATATCTATATATATATATATATATGCGTGTGTGTGTTAGCGTGTGTGTGTTTGTGTGTGTTAGCGTGTGTTAGCGTGTGTGTATGTGTGGGTGTTGCTATGTAGGTGTGTGCGTGTTTATGTGCGTATGTGCGCGAGTGTGTATTTGTGTACAGAGTAAGGAACATTAACTCAATCTAAGTAAAACCTACCCAGTAGTGAGGCAAAGAGGGAGTCTCTCTCTCTCTCTCTTTCTCTCTCTCTCTCTCTCTCTTTCTCTCTCACTCTCAGGCAAAGTAAAACCTACCCAATAGTAAGGCAAAGAGGGACTCTCTCTCTCTCTCTCTTATGTAGAATGACCAAGGTAAACCTACCCAATAGTAAGGCAAAGAGGGACTCTCTCTCTCTCCTCTCTTATGTAGAAGGATCAAATAAAACCTACCCAATAGTAAGGCACAGAATGACTCTCTCTTATGTAGAATGATCAAGTTAAACCTACCCAATAGTAAGGCAAAGAGGGATTCTCTCTCAGATAGAATGAAGCAAATCGTGGCCAGTCCTCTGGATCTGTGTTTGAGGCGTCCAATAGACCAGAGAAATAAAATGTATCATTAACCTCCACCCCCCGTACACAGCTGGTAAATAATGCAGTGGCGTTGTTCTCTTCAAGTGTGATTCTTTGACTGTCGCATGCTGGAAAATATATAAGGACGTCTAGTTACACAAGGAACACTGATTTCACAAAGCTACGCTCCGACATCGAATGTACTTTTGTTTGTAAACGTTATTTAAGATTCATGCTAATCCGAAAAAGAAAAATATGTGTTTGTTCCATATAAAAGTGGCAAATATTAATAAGTTCAAAAGTAGAACCATTGCGGTCCAGCTACCTACCAACAACAGTCATCCAAAACATAAATCCTATTTTAAGTAACCGATTCATGTTTTCATGTATGTGTGCAAATGTGACGTCTGTTGAGTTAACTAACCAAAGTATTCCACCGTGATCTGAGATAAAAATAGAAAAAAATATATAAAGCTTTGCTTAACATATTATCACACACGTGTGTGTGTGTGTATTGAATTGTAGTGTATTGCAGTGTATTGCAGTGTATTGCAGTGTAGCGTAGTGTAGATTAGTGTAGCGTAGCGTAGCGTAGTGTAGCTTAGCGTAGCGTAGTGTAGTGTAGTGTAGTGTCATGTTCAGATAAGGACCGCCACTAAAGCAAAAAGTGCACAGCGAAAATTTTAATGACACGCCATAAAAACAACGTCGTATCCTCCTCTTGGGTTAAAGTTTGGGTTAGGCTTAAAGGTTCCAAAATGTAAACCTTTTCTTGCAAACTATTAACGACATATCCCAATAACTCTCTTCAATAAAATCTGAAACTAAGTTTCGTATATTCTTTTTAATTATGTTTTTTTTGGGTGCCGGGGGTCAACTTTTTAGCGGGGCGTTACTGGAATAGATGCATATTTTATAACCCGATCGCTGTCACCGATATTCGATAGCTTAAAGATAATTAGTGATAAAATTAGGGTTAGGCTTAGTGTTACGACTGTGTGAGATGTTTGATCTACTTGTTGACTACTATGCAATATCAGACACTCTATGCAGTCATTGTGTCATTTCACATCCAGACGGCCAGGTGACAATTTATAGATAAGACGGACACAGGGTTTCTTTCTTCTAATTTATTCTGGTATTAGACTGGGTTATAATTTTAATCTACATTCACATCTCACGAGTCACTCTCCCAACTGAGTCACACCGGTCAGTATACGTCCCCTCACAACTATGATCAAGATAAGACTCACTCACACATAATGCACAGCAACCAAGTTTCTACCCGTCACTATCTTTCAGTCCACGTCATCATTCCAATGCGTTCAACATAGCTACCTTTCACACCGACATTCACTCGCGCCAATTTATACTTGAGACATGCATCATAACACTTAGGTATATGTATAGAAAATAGAGATCAATGACAAGCTGTATAGAAATAGATTTGATACGTATTCTAACATGGGGTAGCTACAGATGGTGGTGTGATTGACATTGGATAATGACTGCGGAAACGACCAGCGGGTAGTTGTTGGGAGTTTATTTCCCAAAAGTAAACAGAACACATCATTAGTCAGTGTTGTTTTTAAAACTTTAAAACTATATTTAATTTCCTTTACTCTCAATTATATACAATATGTTTTTTTTTCTCACATTAAAACCGCTGAGTGTATGTAAAACAAACATATATACTGTTAACATTTTGCAGTTTTGAAATATTAACAGACAAAAAACGAACACGTGAAAGCTCAAATTAAAATAACACCTTAACCATTACCACTTTAAAATGTGTTTACTTTTAAGTAAAAAAACCCCATAATACTGCTCAATTTTATTCAAATATTTAACTCTAAATATCTTACCCGACTATTTGGCTGGTACAAAATATCGAATGCTCCAGTGTTGTTAGGTTGTTTCAATAAAAAGAACTGGAATGTTTTTAAAGCATATTTTTTCCTACAGCACTATAGCTAAACGTACCAAAAATATCCCTAACAGTTAACAGCCGCAACAAGTTCTACGGGTTTACCGAATGTTCCTATAGTGGCTATAGTTATACATGGAGAGAGGAAAATGCCCTCTATCACATCCCGTCTAATAGATAGCAACATTCAATGTGTGTCGCGTTATCAAGGCAATACTAGCTCAAACTATCCCACACTTGGCCTAGCAAAGTTGTCAGTTTTAACGAAAAAAATGATAAAAAGAAACATGATACGTCGGTTATCCTTTCAAACAACAAACAAATTAAATTATTTTTTTTTAAAAGAATGATATGCTACATATTATCTAAAAGCCATAAGCCTTTACCTACAAGTTGTAAGAAAATACATTACAACTATATATATATATATACGTACATATATATATATATATATATATATATATATATATATATATATATATATATATATATATATATATATATATAAAGCAAGAGTTAGCAGAATATTAAAATAAAACTCATACACATATTTTTTAAACATACTGTTCTTTGTTGTATTGAAATAATTGGTCAGCATGTTGGTAAAATATGTGTTAAGTTCATGTACCCAATAACTATATATTAAGAGGGGGAGGGACGGTTTTCATGATTTAAGAGAATAAGTGCAACCTGTATGTGAACGAAGTCCATGTATGGAAATGTTACAGATAAAAATATCCTACTCAACAACAAAACAATTCTTGGAACAACCTGCCCTAAGCTACGGCATACAGAGATGGAATTTATACAGAGATAAGAGGCTATGTTTCACTTCCTGATAGACACGCCTTTCATGTTCGAAAGTGTTACAGTTGTGTGATTTATGTAGATCTGGTAACAAACTAACACTTTCTGGATGGTGAAAAGTAATTAGGTGAAATAATTGTGCTTGGAATGTTTTAGTAATGATCTGTGTTTTCTTTATGAAACCACGCATGGATATGTAGGTTAGATACATCTATAGGCTATATATATTTATATACGTAATTTTATATATATATATATATATATATATATATATATATATACGTATATATATGTATATATATTATTATATTATTTCTTGTTAGATTTAATAACTAAACATGTGTATTTATTTTAACAACACACAGCGAATAGAAAAAAATGAATGTTAATGTTGTTATCGTGCTAGCAGTATCAGCATTCTCTGCTACAGGTATGTAAGGATCACACATCTCTGTTGTTAGGCCTATATATATATATATATATATATATATATATATATATATATATATATATATATATATATATATATATATATATATATGTATATATATATATATATATATATATATATATATATGTGACCTAGGCTAGTTGCATCTTTCCTGTTTGCAACGCCCAATGTGACCTTCCCCGAGTCTATCCTGCCCGATAACGCCAATTGTAACGAGTTGAACCACTCATGCTACACAACATCGACTACAGTAGAAAGACTCGAAGATGCAGGTTCGCTATTGATCCTTTTATTACATGAATCAAGAAATGCTTCAATATAACACAATGAATCAACAGAAATGTTTCACAATAATAGTCTGAATCAACTGACTCCCTAACAGTCCTCACTAGGCTTCATATAACTGAATCCACATGTCTATTGTCCTTCTTAACACAATATAACCAACTTGAGTATGTCACAAAGACTGACTGATCTAAAGCGAGCGATGAAGCTCGAAGAGCGGTAAGAGGGGTAAGAGAGCGAGTTCTGTCGTCCCCTCCTATTTATGCCTTGTATCCGTACTCGTCTGCATACTTGTATTCCTCCGTAATCGATACTTGTACTCGATGTCACCGACCACTAGTTACGCAGTTCTACGTACAGTCCGTGACATAACATCTGCTTCCTATCGATCAAAGTTGACAGGCCGTCTCCCAAAATAGCACGCGTTGGCTTTGAGATTGTTATCAGACCGACCCAATAAGCCACCTGTTATCGGTTGCATCAGACCAATACTGCGTCTCGGCTTCTCGTTCGTTATCAGATTTGTAACTGGTGGCTAGGCCCACCCTAGTCACATCCACCCCTGCCTTTTTTTGTGTGTTTTCAACCACAAACAACGCCTGGCAGGTGCACTCCTCCAAAGTCAATCGCATAATCGTAAAAAAATTTATTGTTCCACTCACTGTCCACGACGTCCCATTCGTATACGATTGACAGTTATACGTATTTCACATATCAACTGTGTCTACATCGTCTTCCTGAGACACAAAACAGTTCTAGAATTCACATCCACCCTTTTCGTTTGGTGCCTTCACCAGTTCACTTTTATAGCTTTTTGAACCGTCTGTTCTCCTACCAGCGCGACCATGAAAGACTTGATGGTTGCTGACAAAAAATTTCGTCTTCCTTCTGTTCCTCGAACTTCTCCGCGGACCACTTAACTGATGGTCTACTGTCTCTCTGCTTCTGGAAGGGACGGGATCCTCTTTGTTGCCGTTATCCTCCACTTGTGTATCGCGGTTGTTCTGTTGATGGTGATATGGTTCCGGGATGGGTATGTGAATTTCCGTTATAGTTTCCGGTTCCCTAATTGTCTTGGATTTCCCTGTGTGTAACTGCTCTTCTTGCCTATTCCAATATTTCTTTAATTGAGCAATATTCGCCCACCGATCCGGTTTGGCGTGATCGATGGGTCTTATCTTAAAGGGGCCACCTGCTACTTTAGGCATCTCCACGACTTGCCATATCTCCTGTCCCCAGAGATCGTGGATTTTGTTTCTGCCTAACGGGTGACTACGCAGTAATACCCTGTCATTCAGTTTGAGTGGCGGGTCCTTTGTCTGTACCGGCGGTTCCCTTCGCCGTGCTTCATGTTCTAGTCTTTCCTGTACTACCCTGTACATTTCTCTAATTCTTCTCATATGTTCATTCACATATTCCAGTGCTGTGTATGAGCCAGTCATACTCTCTCTTTTTCCTAGGAACAAATCAAGAGGGAGTCGAGCCTCCCGTCCGAACAGCAACATGTATGGCGTAAAGCCGGTTGTGGCATGGGGTGTGCAGTTGTATAGATATACCAACTCAGGGAGAAAATCAGGCCAACGTTTTTTCTGTTCAGGTTCTAGCGTACGCAGCAAATCATGCATGCTGCGGTTGAACCGTTCACACTGTCCGTTTCCTTTCGGATTAAATGTGGTTGTTCTAGATTTGTTGATCCCGTAGTGGCTGCACAGTTGGTTAATTACTTCTGACTCGAAAGCCCTTCCTTGGTCAGAGTGTAATTGTCTTGGTATGCCATATTTGATGAACCAATGTTCTATTAAGACCTTTGCCACTGTTTTGGCGGTCTGATCTCGCGTGGGCACCGCCACCGTCCATTTGGTGAATACATCAGTCATTACCAACACATGTTCCGTCCCATCCGATGATTGCTCCAACGACGTAAAGTCCATAGCCACAATCTCT